TTTTTTTTTTTCGATGACATAAACCGGATACGTGTATGACAGTTTCCGAAATATAAACTTTTATTTTGGATACCTTCCATCCGGAAACCACGTATATAGGCTTGCTTGACGTTACGGAAGATTACGTATTAGAGAACGTCATATTGTGAACTCTTGAATGGTCTGAATGACGTTGGGCGCGGGGCAGAGAAAGTAAGGCTACTCCAGCGCCACCCGCTTCCGTGCTGTAACGCTGTGTAGCTCGGAAAACAAAAACCTCACGTTCCGAAGCAACATATCGCCTCCATTTGCAGTTTGCCTCCTGTTTCTGCTGGTTCTTTGCCTCACTTTTCGACCCTGAAAATAGAGGATATATGTTTCTCCGAAACGTCGTGTTGTGTCCGAAATACACGGCTGTGAGGGCATTAAATCCAACCACTTATACATTTGTGTTAGACGATAAGTGTACATACACGTACAAATAATCTGAAATATTTTCATGAGCACAAATATTAATACAGAAAATTAAAAGTAAAAAATATAAACATTATGTTATATTCATTACTTCAGGGCGTTCAGTAAAATTAGTCTACTAACTTAAATATAACTTCGTAAGCAATTTTTATGGCTCATCCCCTCCGAGAAATATTCTAGCGACATCGATTTTTATCTATTCCTATTATTTACCTCTGATTTCAAAGATTTCGTCTATTACATCCATAAAACAAACTCCGTTGCCTGTAGTCCGCAAGCGAACTATACCAACCGAGCGACCGCCGCTTGTCGGCGAAGTTAGTGCCAATTTCAGAGAATAGAGAGTGTCACGTGGCCAGCGCAACGGATCCCCACGGCCGTTAATATCGGTTTTCTAGACCGAATATTACATCTATACAGAATCAAATGTAATGATAACTTGTTTTTAAAAAACTTTAAAACTTTTAATACCAGGAAGGCTGCTGTGACTGAAAAGTTGAACATTGTGTACATTGTGTATTTCAGACATTATATGTGTATGTATATAATTTAACACCTGTTGTAATAGTAGTTTCCGGGAAAAGTATTGATGCCCTCTGAGGATGATCCGTAGGGATCGAAACATGTAAGGGTGATGAGTTTTCAAGTGATAAAACTTAAATAGTCACACTGGACGGTGTTGTTTTTGGCTTTGTATTCAGTCAATGTAAAAGTGAAGTATGTGCATGTATTTCTGTAGACCGATGGAAGTAAGCACAGGGAGTAAAATGAATATGCTGGTCTTACAGTGGGACTGTTAAGAGCGCTATCATCATCTCTGACGCCGTGTAATCTGGCAGATGTTTCGGAGGAACTTACTGCTTCCATCTTCAAGACTGAACTGTGAGCAAGAATATGTCTGCTTGCTCTTTCATTCTTGACGGTCTCTTACAGCTCCTTGACCTTGATGTTGAATACAATATGTATCGTTCTTAATGTTTATGAACTTCTACCGGACTATACAGCGTCGCATACGGAATATATTAGACTGGAATTTCCGTTTAAGTACTGTTTACCTCTGTGTGGAGAACTTCTCCCTACAAAAATTCTGTCTCGCTAAGGGGCAAGTCTGGTTATTAACCAATCATATTCGCAAAGCCTAACTGTGCAGACACACGTAAGGTTGCCGGTGTGGCTCAGTCAGTATGGCGATTGACTACGGGCTAGACAGCCGAGGAATCTGGGAGTTTGGTTCTCGGCAGGGGCACGAGTTCTTTTCGTCTTCTCAGCGTCGAGACTGCATCTGGTGGCCACAGAATCTCTTATTTGATGGATTCCAGGATCTCATCCCCCGGGGTTAATGTTGCCAGGGTCGCCAAAATCAAGAAAGCACGGAACTATACCTCTACATCCCCACACGTCTTCATGGCGTTGTCTTTGATTAAGGACCTTCAAGGAAATTAGTTTCTTTAATTCATGATTTCTCTTCAGAAACAACAAACAAAAATATTAAACTGATCATTTGTTTACACATATTAAAATATGAAGAAAAGACAAGTCACTTTACTTCTTGGATGACCGGAGAATTGGAGTTCGACTCCTACGGCAATTAGAGACCGGCTGTGGGGTCCTCCGTCTCCGATTAAGTTGGTACTGAGCAAACATTTCAAGACGTGAAGCTCTTAAATATGTGTTCTTATACCTGACTGTTCCAGCAGCACGCGCAGTGGATCAAGACCAATAAATAGTAAAAGGTTGGTTTGAGACCTGACAGACTGCGTCACTCTTCCTCCTACAATAAAAATGAGACTACTTCTCACTAGTCCTGATACTCCGCCCAGACTGACCAATATTTGCCCCATCCAGTGCATGGAGCTATGTGACCGTTGCCCCGTAAGTCATGACATGGTAATTAATTAAGCAGAAAGACAAGTTTGCTTTTCATACGCTTAATTACTGTGTTTACTTATGTTTGTCTATTATTTCATGTCTTGACATACCTGATTCGTCATTATATACAGGTTACATGTGTTGAGCAATTTATGGAGTGTACTCAATCTGCTAAGAGAACGAAATTGCCTCTATGTCAGTTAGTGAAGTAGACCGTTATGTCTTCATTACAATATTACTAGATTCCATTTTAAACACACTTCTGTTCATAAGCTGGCTGGAAATTCAGGCATACACAAACAGGATTTTCTATTCGTAATGTACTTTGCACAAAATGTGACATAACCTGGTTCACAGAGTAAATGGATCTTAGCTGTACGAGTATGTGAACACTGAATCTTCCATGTGCCTCTTTGAGGTTATGTATGTATGTATTTGTAAGTGTAATACTGAATGTGTGAAAATATATGTACAATTTGTAATTGTGTATCTCCACGCTTTAATTTAAAATTGTCCTCAACATCTGTGTCCATTCCTCCCCCCCCCCTGATAACTGTACTTCACAGAATCCAGAACGACTGTGGTGTCCACCGAGCCTCCTATTCGATGGGTACCGGGGTCTATTTCCCTAGGAGTAGAGCGGTAGGACCATGAAGCTCATCACTCACATCTATTCAGTGCCGAATTTAAGAATGGCGGAGCTATACTTCCATTCTCCCACATGTCATTAATTAGCCACAGGGACAACTTTGCCCTTAAGGTTTATATGACGACTTAGTCAGCAACTGAAGACAGTAGCGAATAATGTGGTTGAAAGGATTTAAGGAAGTGGCCTTGACCTAATATAAGATAGTTTCTAGATATTTATATGGGCAGAAACCATTTGAAACTCAGCCAGGCCGACTGTACCCACAAGCTCTAAACAGAAATCAGATAAGAAGAGGAATAGGAATACTTTCAGGTCACTGTCTCCTAAAAGGATGTAGTTTAGAATATGGATAACCAGCAACGTCATTAGCGAAAAATTCCTGAACAAAGAAAAATCATCTCCATACATCCTACATGATTGTGAGGTTACAGTTGATGCTAATAAGGAGGTTGTTCTAGAAGTAAACACAGAGATAACTGAGTATATGTTGCTGTCTCGTCACCAGAATGCAGGGCAAAATCATGATATAAAGGCAGCTAAATGATATTTTGAAAATGTGACACAATTCCGATACTTGGGAAAGACTAAAGCAAACAAACATTTGATTAAGGAGGAAATTAAGAGGAGGTGGAACTCGGTTAATGCTTGCTACCTTCAGTCAATAACCATCTGTCTCCTCGTCTGCTGTATAAAAGCAAAAAATTAAAATATACGATACTATAGTTTTGTTCGTGGTTCTGTATGGGTAGAAAACTTGGTCTCTGACATTAAAGGAGGAACATAGACTAAAGAAGGGTATTTGAAAAAACAGGGTGCTGAGAAGAATATTTGGACTGAGGAGAGATGAAGTGACGGGAGGGTGGAGAAATGTGCATAATGAGGAGCATCATAACTTGTACTCTAATTAGAATGATTAAGTCAAGGACGATAAGATTCGCAGAACATGTAGCATGAATGGGGGAAAAAGGACGAATTAATTTAGGATATTGGTGGGAAAGCCTGAAGGAAAGGGACCACTACGAAGCCCAAGACTTAGGTGGGTGGAGAATATTAAAATGGATCTTACAGAGACAGGATCGGGTGGTATGGATTGGATTGATCTGACTCAAGATCGGGACCAGTGGAGGGCTCTTGTGAACACGGTAATGAACCTTTGGATTC